TTCAGATACGAATCATCCCCCAAAAGACTCGTGTGTGGAAGATTCGGTCTCAACTGAGAGGAGATCACAGAGTGCTAACTTTATCAGTGGGCTACTGGGAAGAAGCAGGGTCGGTCTCAGTTACTTTCCTACTGCTATTGAGAAATGCCATGGCCACAAGCAATGTGGGGAGGAAAAAGTTTATTCCAGATTATAGCTCAGCGTCCATCGCCGAGTGAAGCCACGGAAGAAACCTGCAGGCACAAACTGAAGTAGAGGGGTGATGTTCCCTGGCTTGCTCCCAATGACTCGCTCAGCCTGCTTCCTTATAGCACCGAGGACCACCAGCCCGGGGGGGAGGGGGCACCACCCACAGTGAGCTGGACACTCCCACGTCAATCATCAATCAAGAAAACGGCCCCACAGGATTATACACAGGTTAATTTTATGGAGGCATTTTTCTCAATTAAGGTTCCTTCCTCTCAGATGATTCTAGCTTGTATCAAGTTGACAAACAAAACCAAAAAAAAAAAAAAAAAAAAAAACCAGCTAGTACAAGGTCCCAGAGGGGCATGTCTCTGGAGGGTTTATTTTTGTCCCTGGTCCCTCTGTGTCTCTCTGCTTCCCAACTGTCATAAGGTAAACAGCCTCTGCCACACTCTCTGTCCTTACTACCTCTGTGCCAAAACAATGGAATCTTGCCATCATGGTCAAAACCTCAGACACTGGGAGCCAAAGCAACCCCTTTCTTAGCTGTTTTCTCACATACCTTATCACAGTGAAGGGAAAAAATACTTTTAATACACACCTCTTCTGGACAAAAGGCTTTTCCCCGTTCTGGATGCCTAAGCCCCAATTAAAGGATGCCTGCATGCTTGCCCATGCTTGAACAAAAGAGTCGAGTCACTGCATTCAATCAGCTATAGCATTTAAACGCAAGGACTGGCACTGGAGACGGTAATGCCTATACTGAGCCTTAATTATTTTTATGAGTATGTATTATTTTACATGTACATACATATATGTAGGCATAATATTTTTTTATGTGTATCAGACAACTATGTCCTAGACACAGATCATAATGAGCAATGCTGCCACCTGCTGGTCAGAGAAGATAGTACATGCATGGGTCAGATACTAAGAACTGAGAAAGTCCTGTGAGGAAATGGAGAATGGGGGGTCTTTGAGGGCACAGGCCATACTAGCCCTCTCTGAGCAGGTGGCCTTAAAAGTCAAAGACCCAGCACAATGGGGGGAATATGGGCATTTTGGGGAGAATGTCCCTTTTCAAAGCTTAAATCTACTAAAAGACAATCAAAGCAAACCATCCAACCAGCAGGGATCCCAGCCTTTAGAAACCAGGGTGTGACAGCTATTAATTCTGATAGATGTGAGTGAGGTTTCACCCATGTCACATACAGTCTTCAAAAATAATGTATGGCTGGTCATGGTGGCCTTTAATCCCAGGACACAGGAAGCAGAGGTACACACATCTCATGAGTTCAAGGCCAGCCTGGTCTACAAAGTCAGTTCCAGGCTGTAACACAGAGAAACCCTGTCTTGGGAAAACAAACAAACAAACAAAAACAAGAAACAGAATGTCTGGCCTGGAACTGGAGAGAGCAGTCCCTCAGCAGTAAGAGCACTGGCTGCCCTTCCAGAGGGTCTGGGTTCCATTTCCAGCACCCACCTAGTGGCTTTGGTAACTCCAGTTCCACGGATATGATGCCCTTCTGACCTCTCCAAATACTGCATGCATGTGGAGCACAGACATTCCTGCGGGTAAAACCCTCATACATACAAAGTAGAAACAAACAAAACTCTTTAAAAAAGTATGTCCTGAAAGGTACCCAACAGAATCCCAATCCAGGGCTCAAGCAACTTTCCAGTAGGAAAGGACAGCACTGATGTAGGTGGCCTGGGAGAGACCAGGAGACCTGATCTCATGATAAGAGGCTTCTGTCTGGCCTAGCATCTGTCCATCTTGACCTCCAAAGGCAATCTTGTTCTCTGCTTTTGTATTTTGGGGTTTTGTTTTGTTTGAGACAGGGTTTCTCCGTGTAGCTCTGGCTGTCCTTGAACTTGCTCTGTAGACCTTGAACTCACAGAGATCTGCCTGCCTCTGGCTCTGAGTGCTGGGATTAAAGGCACGTGCCACCTGGCATTCTCTGCTTTTATGTGATTCTGCTTATGGTTTTAGTTGTAGTGTTATATTCCAGTCTCAAGACAGAAACGTCTTACTTCAAGAGACATCAATGCAACCAGCTGTGAGCAGTAACTGAGGAACTGCTGCACTTCAGGGCAAAATAGGCACATCTGGGTGGGAGGACCAGAAAGAGACTCAGAAGTGGGTCTCTGGCACTAGGCCTCAGACTCAGAGGATGTTCTACTGGTGTACCCCACACCACTAGGCTGGTGACTGGGAAGGGGTTGGACCTGCATGATTCTAAAGCCAGAGTCACTGGGGTCGAGTGCCCCAGGGCAGGACGGGAAGCAAAGGGAAAGAGTGGGAAGTAGAAGTTAGGCAAGACAGGAAATGGTGCAGGACAGAAAGCGAAGCAGGGCAGGAAGGAAAGTGAGATAGGAAGTGCAGAAGGAACTGGAAGCGAAGTAGGAATGTGATGGGGATGTCCTTCTGTATGCTGTGAATATTGTTTCTCTTATTGGTTGGTGAGTAAAGCTGTTTCGGCCAATGGACAGGCAGGAAGTACAGGTGGGGCTACCAGACCAGGAGAATTCTGGGAAGAGGAACTCAGAGAGTGAGTCACCAGGGAGACTCTATGTAGCTGCCGAGAAAGAAGAGCATTCTCCGGTAAGCCAAGACCATGTGGAGAAACATAGATGAATAGAAATGGGTTAATAATTAGAGAGCTAGCCAATAAGAAGCCTGAGCCATCAGCCAAGCACTCACAATTAATATAAGCCTCTGTGTGTTTGTTTGGGACTAAAGGGCTGCAGGACCAGGCAGGAGAGAAACTTCCACCTACAGGAATGGGAAGTAGGACAGGACACAAGGTAGGAAGTCAGGAAGTAAGGCAGGAACAGGAAGCAAGGCAGACCAAGTAGTGAGACAGGAAGTGAGGCAGGCACAGGAAGTGAGACGGGAAGTGAGGCAGGAACGGGAAGCAAAGCAGCCAGGAAGTGAGATGGGAAGTGAAGCAGGGACAGGAAGCAAAGCAGGCAGGAAGTGAGACATGAAGTGAGGCAGGCACAGGAAGTGAGATGGGAAGTGAGGCAGGAACGGGAAGCAAGGCAGGCCAGGAAGTGAAGCAGGAACAGGAAGCAAAGCAGCCAGGAAGTGAGACGGGAAGTGAGGCAGGAACAGGAAGCAAGGCAGGCCAAGAAGGCAAGATCAGGAAGCAAAGTGGGGCAGGAAGCAGAGGGAGACTAAATGTCTGGCTGCCTTTGTCCTGTCCACAACTGTCCTCAGACCTGTCCCCAGCGCACTCATTAAGCTCACAAGGGGTCCTCTCTGCTCTTCTCATCTATGGCTCAGCCCAACATGGAAGTCAGGGCAACAACGTCTCACATGTCTGAGTGAACCAACTGCCAAGAGTCCATGGCTCCCAGGTCCTGGAGAGCCTGACTCCTCACCCTCCATTCACTGTGTCTCTCTCCTGACCCCTGCTGCCTGGCACTCACACAGCCTTCCTGATTTAGCCCATCAGTTATGTCCCCACCCACCCAGAACCTTTCCACGTGCTGCCTTAGCCTGTAGCATCATACCCTCACCCATTTCCTTTCTTCACACAAACGTTTTTAATGAGATTTTCCCTGAAGAGTCCAAACCCAGCACACTAACCCCTGAGATGTGTGGCTTCCTGCCCTGCTTCTCTGGATCACAGAGCCCCTGGGCCCAGACCTTGGGTGCTTTCCTGCTGCTTCCAGGCAGGGTGTTGCTGGGCTTGCAGATGATATGCAAAGGCACTCTTGGAGCAAGAGCTATGTCATGGAAAGAAGGGAGATGCATCCTTCTTTGTGGAAGGGTGAGGTGGTGTGTGTGTGTGTGTGTGTGTGTGTGTGTGTGTGTGTGCGCGCGCGTGCGTGCGTGCGTGCGTGTGTGTGTGTGTGTGTGTGTGTGTGAAGCTGCGCAATGAAGCCAGTGAAGCTTTGTTGAGGCCAAGACTGCAACACCTGTTCAAGTGGAAAGGGATGGAAAACTCTGATCTATGAAATGAGCATTGAGATGGGGCTGCTCCCATCTTTCCGAACCTGGACCGGGAGGCCACGCCCCTGCAGAGGACCTGGAACCAAGCTATGGAGCCCCAGGTAACAATATGCCCTGTGGGACTTTTTTTTTATATAAAGCATCAGAAAGACGAGGTGGGGTAAGGTCACTGTGGCTTAACTACACTCGGCTGCTGGCATTGCATAGCTGTGTCCACATCTGGGCCCTAGTCCCAGGTGGGTCTTCTCTAGGGAGTGGACTGAGGGTGAGAACCCACAGGATGCCAGGTTCCTGGCCCCTCTCCCATGTCCTCACACTCCCTCCAGTTAGGGTAAATCCTGGGAAGACATAAACAATGTCCATTCACCTCAGGTAGAGGGGACACCAAAAGACCCCAGAAAGGATTCCATTCAAGTCCCTCTTGGTGAATCGGTGAATTTACTGAGGTTGCTTACAAGCCTGTGTCACTCTTGGAGAGCCCATTGCATGAAGACTTGGGAAAAGCTGCACCATGGGACAGTCCCTGAGCAGGTTACAGGCAGTTACACTACTACAGAGCCCCAAGCCCTGGTCAGCCAGTGTCCAGCCCTCCAATGTAACAGGCCTGGCCAGCAGGGGTCCCCTGTGATCATCTCAACTGCTCTGCTCCGGACAACTGCCATGCCATGCCCTGCCTGGAGGACACAGCTGCACGCAAGGTGTGTTTAGACTCTCTTTGGTCTGTGGTTGGTTCATCTGGAGGGAATAGACATGTTTCATGTCCCCTCAGAAAGTATCACACAACGAGGCCTTATGTAATGGAGATCTCCCCAAAAGTCCTTCTGTAATGATGAGGCAAAAAAAAAAAAAAATCTCATTTGCTTCTTGGAGAACTTTTTAATGTAAACACAAAATTTCTGAAGAAATCCTTGAAAGAAATCTGAAGAAAACAACACAATCTGTAAATGTATTTTGAAACAGGCTGTGACGTCAACATAGAAATACATCCTGAGGACTGACTCCCTCAACCACACACCCCTGCTTCACCAGAAAGCCACATTCAGGCACCTGCTTGGTGGAGAGGCCACCAGAGCACAAAGTGAGGAGCGCATCGCAGGCCAAGGACTCAGGCTGAACTTGAAGGAAACCCGGCCACGAGTGCCGGGAACTCTGCAGCTAAATTCAAAGGCACTGAAGCAGAGCGGGGGTGGGTGGAGCTGCACAAACACAGCTCTGTCTTCAGAGCTTTCAGGAAGCTTCCAGGCAGGAGTGTCTCCACTACAGGCTAGCTCTAGACCAGAACACACAGGCCAGCCTCCTGCAGTCGCTCTAGGCACATGGGGTGTCAGGCTGGGAGGTGTGAGGTGAGTGAGTGACATTCACCACTAGAGAGGTGGTGGGTTTCCGAATGGTTCAGGATCCCTCAGGCTTGGTGTTCTGAATCAGCATGGCTAGGTCAGATCCAACCAAAGGAGGCTGGGACTGAGTGAGCATCCACACACACAGTCCGCAGTTGGCGGAGTCCACCAGGCTTGGTGTCCTTCACATGCTCAGCAGGCAGATAGGCCATCCCTGGGTACCTCACTCACCAGTGTAAAACAGCCCACATCTTCACACCGCCTATCACAGTTTCTCAGGGACTCTGGGCACTGGTGGGGGTTCAGCTGAGATGCTGGTCCTTCAGATGCTGACCAAGAATGGCTTCAGTGAGCACCAGTCTTGACTCCATCGTCGTCGCCATCTTGCCTTGAGACTCTAGCAGCACCAGTGAGTGGGGAAGAGACCAACGTGAGTGCAGCACACGACTGTGTGTCACCTCCACGATGTAGCAGGTAGAAGTGAGCCAGTGACTCTTCAGACCCTTACACTTCCTAGGGCAGGGTCACCAGAGAGCCCCCAAGAAAGGCCCCGAGGGCTGCGAGACCAGGTTTTCCTGTACATGGCTGCCTAGGGCCTGCCCATTGTCCTTCCCAAGGCAGTGTCTAGCTTAGAAAAAGGGGGTTCGATGTTAATATATTAAGGAATTTAATTTATGGCTATTTAAAATTACAGCTACCTTACAAAACAGTTCCATGGTGATTCTGCAAGCAAGACATGAACAGAAATCAGGCCCAGTGCAAAATCTCTTCATTATCACTGTCAGCCAAGAGAGCACAGAGCACACCCTAATTAAACTGCACACACATTTGTAACACTGACATCTTTAAAGAAAAAAAAAAGTTGGATTTTTCAATCATTCCTATTTCAGGGCTACTGAGACAAGGCCACCATTGTGAAATCTCTGTGGCATCCTTCAGAGCCCAAGGCCATCTGGACTGGCATGCTGCATCCGCTTGGCTCCTGGTGTTTTCATGGTATGAAACCTCTGTGGCGCTCCATTCTTCATCACCAATACAAGCCTCCGCACTCAGCGCTAGCCCTAAGGTCTGAGATCACATGTGGAAGGACAGGACACTGATTCCGCTGCAGACGTGGTCGGAGTCTCTGAGGACAAAGAGCTCTTGGGGTGTGGTTGCTATGACAATGCTGCTGCTAGGATAATTCCAAGGATCACAAGCAAAGTGACTACACAAATGAGGACGAACATCACCTTCTGCAAAGAAAAGAGACAGGAGTCTACAATGCAGAAAGAAAGCAAGCACCACCCCCAGGATGTCCTGCTGTAACTCGGCAACCTAAAATTGGCCATCATGAGGAAACATGCTCCAGGTGAGAGAGGAGGGAACAGGAAACTGCCTTTCTAGACAGGGCACAGCTGTCAGGTCTGGATGGATGGGTGGATGGATGGATGGATGGATGGATGGATGGATAGATGGATGAGTAAATGTGCATGTATGCATGTGTGTTTTATCTGCAGGCACTACAGCAAATGTCCAGCTGGCCCAGGCAGAGGATCACACCTGCTTTCTGGGTCCTAGCAAGAGCAAGCAGCCCATGGGCACCCACAGAAAAGCAAGCACTTCCCTGACCATGCTGGGAGCCACCATCAGGCTTTTGTGACCATATTAAAGTGACCTCACATGCTATAGGAAAAATAAGCAAAGTGCATGGTTCTACAGAGACTTGTGAAAATACTGAACAATAGTAATTATTTTTAGCAGAGAAAAATCAGTGTCATCTTTTTCAGTAGACTAAGAGGATGGCATCAGGAAAGACAGATAGACCTCCTTTCCAAAAGACAGAGGCTGCAAGTCCTTCTCATCCAAGGACAAATTCTCTCTTTGCAAGCCCACAAGAGCTGATGGCAGCCATACCCGACAGATGCTCAAATCATGAGAAAAGCCTCATAGGAGGAAGGCAATGAGGAACCCAGCTTGGGAGAGCCTCGCTTCTGCCACAGTGAAAAAAAAAAAATTGAGAGGCGCCACAAGTGTGATATGGTCATGGTCAGTGTTTACAAGGATGACTTTGTGCAGTGGGGAATCCCCAGGATGTAGGGGGTAAGTCCCATGGATGTGACAAAATAACTTTCCACACTGATCATGCAACACCCGTGGTCCTGCCGGAATTAGCAGGCAGGAAATTAAATGCCAGGCTTTTCATTTTAGTAGGGATCTGCTGCCAAGTAGGAACCTGAGAAAAGTTTGGTCTGTTGCTGTCATCCGCAGCTTAAGCTCCATTCTCTTGGTTCCATGGTGAACTGAGCAGTTAAGAGTATTTTACAGTCATTTTCAGTTACCGTTATTCTGAAAGTTACAAGAGATGAACTAAACTGCAGTGTTCGCATTAGTTTTCACTGGGGACAAGCTCTGTGGGGCAGTGGCCACCTTGTGCAGAGTTGAGTGCCTTCCCAGTCTGTGTCACCTCAGTAAACAGAGGCCACTAAGACCTCAACCACGCACTCAATGGACAAGCCCCTGTGACTTTTAAGTATATTAACACTGGGCAAACACACTACTGGCTGATTGAAAAGGTTAATAAGTAAATTAGTTGATTAGTCACTTACTGCCACCCTGAGGGAGAGGCAAGCACCCAGCGCCATCTACGCAATCATTTGCCAACCGACAAGCCAATGATTAGAGCCAGGACAGCAATGACAGCCACCGCAACAGCAGCAATTATCCACTTTTTCTGTCAAAGAAAAGCAGGCTGATTACACCACCACGCTGATTGCACACTGCCACAGTCAAGGGCATCTTTCACTGGGAGTGAAGCGATTGCCAGAACTCATTTTGAACTCTAAGTATATACAGGCCCTCTCCTGACGCCTACAACAGTCTTTACTTCCCAGAGGGGCTTGATCTATGAGGTCAGGTCTCTTAGAGTCAGTCTACCATTGTAACCCAGTAACACTAGCTTTCTCCTGGACACATGACAGGCGCATACCAGAGTTTGAGATGGATTGAAACACAGAACACATTCCCAGAAACCCTGAAAGTCAGAGCTTTGGCAGAGGAAGCAGCCGGCTTCTGCCTTCCACCTGTAGCAGGCAATGATGCCCTTGGCAGGCCCTCAGCTGTCGTAAAAGAGCTTGCATGCACATACGGTGCTCTGAAGATGGAGACAGAGGTGTTACAACCTGTTGCCAAGTAGACATCATCCTTGGAACCTCTGCAGGCAGCAACATGGAACCCAACCCCACTCAAGCTTCAGAGATGTTATGGGAGACACTCAAGCTAGCAGAGTACATCCAGAATTCTGCGCCAGTAGCATCCACTGTGGCAGAATTCCCTTAAGACAGTCTGGGTGCATGACAGAAGCCTAAGCAAAGGGGCATCTGCCTTTGAGACTGCCTCCCAGGGCTCTTACACAAGACAGGAGCCACAGCCTCACAGCCAGTTACCTAACAGAGCTAACAGCTCTCACATACAATGTGTCACCAGTGATTTTTAGGGAAAACCCAAAGTCCATCCCTTGTTCCTCCCTCCAGGTGACAGTCAAAGGGAACAGAGCTCAAAAGAGGCAGGTTCGTCCTGACTTGAGTTTCTAAAGGGTTTTAATTACAACACTAAATGGCTGGTATACAAATAAGCCAATCAACTTAGGAAATTTTAGTGAAAAGAATTATCTTGCTTTTAAAATAAAGCACGTATTGAAGGCATTTCGCTCCTTCCACAGCTAGAGACCAAGAGAAGAGAATCCACCTAAGGACTCAGTCCTCAGCAGCGTGACTCACCCGCCTGGCTTTACTCTGATATTTGATGGCTTTCTTGGTTTCTTCCTTGGCGTGTTCGACATAGTCTGCAGCATTCATCACATTTCTCTCGATGTTGTTGACCATTTCACCCTGAAAACAAGTTTCAAACTCAGCAAACATCAAATCGCTCTGCCAAGTCTCCTGAGACAGCTCTCATGTAAGCCCAGCACCAGAGGGATGGAGACAGGATCCCTCAAGGTCACAAAAGAGGGCAAGGCTGGTGCAGACGTGCCAGCAAACACAATCCAATCCAATCCATGTGTCAGAAGCAGCTGAAAGGGGTGGCAGCAACAGTGACAGGTGAAGACTGTCCACAGATGAGTTATGACCCGACATATCTTCACAGATCCACAGTGAAGGGAGGGCTGCAAGCTCAGGTCCATCTCATGTTTTACTGCTGTGTAAAACATTCCACACGCAAAGGATGATGTCATTTCTAACAGGCAAACTAAGTACAGCCTCCGGGTGACAATGAACTGATGATCAAAGATGAAAATGGAAGAGATGCCACAGTATGTTAGGGGTGGGAGGGGGCGATGCATTACCTGAGTCCTGTCCAGGAGGAGACAAAGTCTGTAGCAGCCAATAGCAAAGCATTGGAGAAGGATGGACAGATAACTATCACTCATTCACAAGCAAATGCCCTAGTAAGTCCTCACTCTGCTTCTGGATCATCAACCTAACCCAATGCAGACTTCTAAAAGGTACAGGGAAGTGAGGCCACAAATGGTGGCTTGTCCTAATGATGAGGTTAATGTCCTAATGATATGGTCTCCATGACCACACAGTAGGAATGGAGTGATTATAACCAAAGCCTGAGCCATTGCAAAGCTTTGTGGTTTCAAAATCAATCTACCATTCTTATCACAACTACTTCCCTCTGAACCTGGAAAGTCACCAGATACCCCAATCCCCAGTTCTTAGACCAAGTGGCAACTGGTCCATCCCAGATCAAAGAGAACCACACGTGTCTAATCCCTGACCATCCCTACCCACGGATACCCATAATAACCCACCAGTGCCTATCCTTGCCTTTACATAACTGTTAGTGTTCTCCACAGGTGTATGATACTTAAGATTTTTTTTGTGTTTTTTGTTTTTGTTGTGTTTGTTTTTCAAGCAGGGTTCCTCTGTGTAGCCCTGGAAGTCCTGGAACTTACTTTGTAGACCAGGCTGGCCTGGAACTCAGATATGCATGCCTCTGCCTCCCTATTGCTGGGGTTAAAGGTGTGCACCATCACCGCCAAGCTATTCACATGTTTTTATGACAAGATTTATCAAAATAAACACCACTCAGAGTATGTGGGGATGGATAACCTAAACCCTTTACATATCCAGACCATCACAAAACATTACTAGCTATCAGCAAAGGTACCCTGACAACCGATTCTCAAACAGGGAGAGCCGGGCAATGGTGGTGTACACCTTTAATCCCAGTAAAGGGGAATCAGAGGCAGGGGGAATCTCTGTGAGTTCAAGGCCAGCCTGGTCTACAGAGCTGGTTCTAGAACAGCTAAGGCTGTTACACAGAGAAACCCTGTCTCAAAAAGAACAAAACAATAATTAAAAAGCCTGTCTCAGTAGAGGTCAGCTGCACTTGTAGCCTGCCCCAGACTTTCCTGGGGTCTAAAAAACCCTGGAAGACCAGTTCAGTCTCTGCAGGTTCCCACTGCAACTGAGTCAGTATGGACACATCACACGTGCACATCCAACTTGATGTTGTTACACTAGCAGGACTCTCTGGTCCTCCCTACCTGAGCTGCAGAGCAAGCAAGAACACCACAGAGGGAGTGTGGGCGATGTCAGGCTCGCTGATTTTTATGCTCAAGTTTAGTCCTTAGGCATTGTTCTGATCCTTTCTCCGTCATCCTTGTGGGCAGCAGCCCCAAAAGAGAAGGCCTGCCTTTTCAGGGTTCTTCGCTTGGCCACCTCCTTCCTCTGGGAGCACTGTTATATGTAGCTGAGGTCACATGATGTGTGTTCATGTATTTACACTTATATATATCCATGGCTATAAGTAAGGTTTCTGTATATCCTTTAATTTTAACCTAAACCCAGCACAGACATTTGAACAAGCACCTGGTATTCCCTGTGGCTCTCTACCTAAGTAGCTGGCCTGTGAGCATGGCATGGCTCCTGTAACTAACCAGTGACCTACTGAGGCAGTATATGCTCAGGTCTCAGCTCAGCATCAACACCTCTAACAACTCCTGAATTCTGAGACTGGATATGTACATAGCCATGGCTTTTTTGGCCAGAGCAGGCTAATTCTCCATGACCAGCCTCTATATGGAAGGTGCTTCATTACCTGGGTCTCCACGAACATGGCCATATCCATGAACATCTCGTGCAGCTCTCGGATGCTGGTCTCCAGCTTCATGATGTCTTTGTGACGTGACTCGATCTCGTTGAGAGCTTGCCTAGTAATTTGTGAATCCGATATAATCTTCAGAAAGTAAATGGAAAAGTATTACTAACTCCAGGCTGGCTGATAAATTAAGGCAAAAATGCCCATCTGGGTTAAGGTGTGTGCATACATGGCTGTGGCACTCACATCCGAGATGAAGATGGATGGCTTCCCACTCTCCAGCATCTCCTCCAGCTCATCGTCAGTGGTGGTCCTCCCAGCTGAAGGACAATGGGAACTGCACTGAGGATGCAGTATGGCTCAACAGCCAGGGATGGTCAACTCATGGGACCACTAAGGTCAACCTGGGCCATTAACATCGCCAACAGTTTTTGCCTGCCCTTTCTAGGTCCTTTCCTGGACAGGTTAATGTGGCAGAAATGTGACTTTGATTTGCCACAAACCCACCCTGCTGTCACAGAGGAGCAGCTGTGCTCTTCTACAGATTTACCACAGGCTTCTGGTCAGAGGGAGCTAAGCTGAAGATGGCATGAAGATGGCAACTGGATGAGCAAAAACGTGGGAGGTTATCACCTAGCCAGGTGGGAAGGGCCACAGGACACAGAAATGCCTGAAGAAATCTGAACCTCAAGCTTTCCAAATGTGACTGACATAAGAGACTAGCAGTTACAATGGACTCAGCACCGGCCCCTCACTCCCAACTCCGAACACATCTGGCGGACTCTAGGCCCAGGCATTAGGAAAGGGTCAGGTTCATGGTGTGGTTAAGAGGTGTGAAGGGTCCTTGAAAGAGTGTCTCCCACACTCTCCCTACTCACTGATCTCTAGCTGGCGCTGGATGCGGCCTTTGCTTCGCTCCCGAAACAGGATCTGCGCTTCGTTGTACTCTGTCATGACTTCCACAAACTTCCGGGACAGCACCGAGTGCTAGAACATGGAAAACATGTCGTTACTGTTATGAGGGCCATCCCTTCCTTTGGAAGAGGTAGAACTTATGACTGGGAAGCTCAGACCGTTACTCAATTCCAGTAGGAAAGAAGAGCAAAAGTAGCAATGGAAGCTGCATGGCCTGGGGTCACAGGTGGTGGCACACAGCTATAATCCCAGCACTCAGGAACTCAGGAGGCAGAGGTAAGCAGATCTCTGTGAGTTTAAGGTCAGCCTGAACTACACAGTGAGCTCCAGGCCAATGAGGACTGCATAGTGGGACCCGGTCTCAAAACAAAACAAAACAAAAAAAACAGCAAGCAAAGAACACCACCACTACCAACAACAAATAAGCTGTGACCTACAGCAGTCAGCTGACCTCTGGGGGTGGGCATTATGGGAGGCTGAATCCAGCTGGTAGGCTAGATCACACAGGGTTGAACTTGCCAGGTTTCAACCACAAATCCCAAACAGTTAAGACCCAAAACCACTAACACCCAGATGATCTGGCTGGTCCCCTGCTCTGCGGCACAGACCATGGGGCGTCTCCTCACAGTGAAGAGATGCAGCCCATGTGCAGACATAGTGGGGGGGGGGGGCAGGCGTGGCCATAAAGATGAAACAACTGGGCTCGGTGTGGCTCTGTGGCGGAGCTATGCTGCACACATGCTGGGAACCAGCTCTAATCCTGGCACAATGAAAACTGAAAGTGCTTTGAATCTGGGCAGTGAAATCCTCTTCCGTATCACTTCAGTCTAATAAGGATGAAAGACTGACCTGAGTCCTCCGTATCCGCAGGTCCACCGAAGTTCGGTTCCCACTCTCCTCCTGATCACAGCTCTGCTCAATAGCTAGGAGAAAGCAAGGCAGAATCACCCAGATATACAGCAGTCAGTCTCAGGATGGCCTCAGTTTCCCCATAAAACCAAAGAACAGGTGACCACTTAAAATAATCCTGTAGAGCAGTGGTTCTCAACCTTCCTAATGTACAACCTTTAATACAGTTCCTCATGCTGTGGTGACCCCCAACCATAAAATCATTTTCCTTGCTACATCATAACTGCAAGTTTGCTACTCTTATGAATTATAATGTAAATTTCTAATATGTAGGGTATCTGATCTGTGACCTGTGAAGGGGTCATGCAACCCCTCAAAGTGGTCAAGAGCACTGTTCTAAAGACTAGCCACTAAAAGGAATGTTTATAATACTGCACACACATATGTATTCAATGACAGGCATGCACAGGCACTTGTGTCTACACACATTAATACACATATAAGCATATATACAAATCCCAACAATATATACATGCATACAGTTGCATATATAAATGTATGCATATACACCAAAACCATAAACACATGATACAGAAAATATAAACAAAAGCATGCACAAATATGCATAAAGGTATGTGACTGTGCATGGGCCTTGTGTTTGTATTTATGCATTTGTATGCTTGTGCTTGTATGTATGTGTTTGTGTACCCACATGTTTGTCTCTGTGTTGTTCTGGTTCTGTTTGCATGTGTGTACACTTGTGTCTGTAAGCATTTGGTGTGTATACCTGGGGTGTGCCAGGTGTCTTTAAATATCCAGTCACTGTAATGAGTCTGAATTAGATATAAAGTGGTGTATTCTTGGGAACAACATTGTTTTTAAGGTGCACACTCTCGGGGCCTGCCTTGAGACCATTGGGGAGTACACTAGGACCTGGGCAATAAATATGTCTGCCACCATGGAGTTGCTGTCCCTGAGAAGAGGGTGTGGTGTGCAGAGATGAGGTTGGCTTCTTTTGATGTCTCTATGAGTTAAACACACGTCTTCCTCACAGATCAAGGAAGGGAACTTCTATCTAAGCTTTGTACTGAAAGCCACAACCCTCACCCAGGCCAGGTGTCACCCTGAACCAGAGCATCACGATCTCAGCTGGGCTCCTGGCAGCTGGAAAGCATATTCTAGCTAAGAGAGCCATCTGAGAGCTTTGGTACTCACTGAAAGGCTATTCCCCCTTCCTCAGTGTCACCAACAGAGTCACTATGAGATCCAGCGGCCCAGATACACGTATCCAGCCTACTTGGAATTAGCCTCAACTCTTATTTTGGAAAATGTAAGAGTAACAAAGGTCCAAGGAAAAGGTACCAAGGTCCACACCCACCAGTACCCAAGAAGGCAGACTTACACTTCAGCTTGCCTCGGATCCGGTTAGCTGTTTTCTTGATCTCTTTGTTCAGGTCTTCCAGATCATCTTTTATTTCTGTAAAAGTTCCAAATAAAACACCTGAGCTGGAACACTCAACCCCTGCACACCCGTGCATCGGGCCTTCTTTCCCAGTGCCTTCCCAAGTGTGCTGCCCCCAGCCACCACTGCCATGCCCAGACCAGCTCCTGGTGCACTGAACAGGGCCATCAGATGCAGCTGGTGGGGAGCCAGACTTGCAGGCTAACTCCTGCTGACCTTCACCAGGACAGGGAATGCGCACAACCACACCCTGGAAGAGGCCTGCCTAGGCACCAGAGGTCCCTCCTGTTGTCACCATCTTCCCAGTCCTTGTTGCTCCAGCAGACACACCACACATGCCACCCTCCAGCAGACCTGGCTCCGGACCTTCGGAGCCAACTCTGGTGCCCCCAGCTATTCTCAGGGCAAAAGATCACCGGCAGAGCGAGCTACCTGACAATGGCAGTCCCACAGCAATGTCTAAACCCCTACAGTCTCTGGGGGACCCCACCCAGAGTCACAAAAACACCCAAGGAGCTGCACACTGGGGGGGGGGGCTGGCAGATTTGAGGGAGGCCCTACAAACCCCTAGTGTGACCAGGAACCAGAGACACTCTGAGGCTCCCCCGGAGGAAGCAGAATATGCAGCCTGAAAACATGCAGATTGGCTCCTTTGGGGCAGCAGAGTGGCCAAAGGACAGCGAGCTGGTCTATAGTAACAGTGTAAAAGGGACCAGACACTGAGTAAGACTCCACAGGCCACGCCTCATTTCCTGGGTTTTTCTGTAAGTGGTAACCAACACTGAAAGTTTCTAAACAAAGGCATTCAACGTTTCTAAGTAGAGCTGGGATTTAGATAGATCGTGCAGACATCCTAAGGCACTGGGGAAATGGAAATGCTGTCTGAGCCCAGCCCGGCCCCACCCATACCCCCCCACACATGCTCTGTGAGCACACACTGCACACAGCTGACCTCCAGATCAAGAATCTCCTCTCAGTCTTCATCACTAACCCAGCTCTGACAAGCAACCAGCCTTGCCAAGTCAGCCTACCTGTTGTTAACGTTCCCAAACACAAGATCCACCATCCCTCAATGGTGGACACAGTGCAGACCTCTAGCCGAGCCACTGTCATGCCAAGAGTCTGACTGGGCACATTCACACATCCCTTGGATCCTACCTAGCAGGGGTCCTCCCTTGGCTGGACACTGGAACTATCCGGGAGCTTTCAAACACCACAAAGATGCCTGGAATGCCAAGGGGACCTGGGCATGCTCATAGGCATGCACACACCGCTCCATCTAGGGGGAAGCTGGAGGACAGGCAGGCAGGCAGACGGACTTACTTCCTTCTGGGTTTGGGGCAGAAAGGATGATGCTGTGGTTCTTTTTCACGTCTTCCACGTGCTGAGCAATCCTGGCTATGCTGCTTCGAATCTCCTCCACCTAGGAGAGACACAGTGGTAAGGTCAAAGCGGCCAATGCTGTCATCTCCCACAGAGGGAGGCTGCAGAGGAAGACATGTAATCCCATGTAAAGAATGAGCTGCCCTCCCACTGTCACTGTGATTATTGATTAAAAAAAAATGCTAGGCTGTGATGACACACACCTTTATTCCCAGCACTCAGGAGGCAGAGGCAGGCGGATCTCTGTGAGTTCAAGGTCAGCCTGGTCTACAGAGCAAGTTCCAGGACAGCCAGGCTTCACAGAGAACCCCTTGAAAAAAAGAAAGGACCGGGAGGGGGGGGGGGGACGGACTAGAGAGTTGGCTTAATGGTTAAGAGCACTGGCTGTTCTTCCAGAGGAAGACCTTGAATGAGGTCTAGTGCCCTCTGCTGGCCTACAGACAGAAGACTGTATACATAATAAACAGAATCTTTAAAAAAAAAAAACCCTCAGTGGGTGAAGGTGCTCGACACCAAACCTGACAATCTGAGCTTGATCCCTGAGACGCATGTCTGGAAAGACAGAGTCTCCCAAAACTTACCCTGACTTCCACTTGCCTGGTATAGTATACAAATGAGTGTACACACACACACACACACACACACACACACACACACACACACACAATTAAAATGTAGTAAGAACAGAAATCCACTACATGCCTACTGTTAATACTAAAGCAACATTTCCCAGCAAAACTATATGCTGTAAAAATCCCCATACTCAAGCCCATGTAACGCCAAGTAGAGGCATATGACTATATAGCAGAGCAGTGAGTACCCCATGCCCATGGGAAAAGGAAAGGGAACAGCCTCCCATGGGGAAGCCCGCATCATCCTGGAGGTCAGCCCTTCGTCTTCCTGAATGTGTACATGGTGTGAGCAACTCACTGCAAGAGTCCTTCAGATGGACTTAGATCTTCAAAGCTCTGTGGTCACTCAACAATGGGGCCCTGGAGGTGTCCTGGCCCCTATGATTGTTACATTAGAAACAAAGGAACCTGTTCAACTAGGAATTGGAGACGAGGAGGCTGACTGGTGGGGATGTCCAGGTTGGACCCAGATAGAACCTGGCTACAGAGGACGCCACATGACGGCCACAGCAGGAGGGGCACTGCCAGTCCCTCCTCCTTCCCTCACTTTAAAATAGTTACATAAATTATAGCCACTGTATGCTAAGACCCATGGCCACACCCTGGCATTGCCTTCCATGGAGTGGGGGCGGGCTTCACAGGTGTTAAGATCTGAGCTGGGAGTGATGGTTTGAATGAAAATGGTCCCCACAGAGTCACAGGGATTAAGACCTGTGGCCTAGTTGGAGGAAGTATTTAACTAGGGGTGGGCTTTGAGGTTTCAGAAGCTCAAGCTAGGCCTGGCAGCTCACTTCTCTTCCTGTTGCCTGTCTTTCCAGATGTGGGACTCTCAACTACCTCTCCAGCACCACCTGTGTCGCATGCCACCATGCTTCCTGCCATGATGACAATGGACTAAACCTCTAACCTCTAAGCCAGTCCCAAGTAAACGTTTTCCTTTGTAAGTACTGCTGTGATCATGGTGTCTCTTCACAGCAATGACACCTTAACTAAGACCCTGGGTGATCTAGCTGGTCCCAGATAACTGAGACTAAAGAAACATTGTCAGCTGGACATTGGCGGCATATTCTTTTCATCCCAGCAGAGGCAGGAGAATCTCTGTGAGTTCGAGGCCAGCCTGGTTTACAGAGCTAGTTCCAGGACAGGCTCCAAAGCAATTCAGAGAATCCCTGTCACAAAAAAAAAAAAAAAAAAAAAGAACTTCGTATTGTCAGGAAGGGACAATGTGATGGGAAGAGAAGAGATGTGCACTATGCATCATTCAGAAGGCAGGGGCTGCAAACCAAGAAAGTAGTCTCCGGAGCCCAAGTGTGCTCCCTCATTCCTCTGCAGTTTAAATATTAGCTTCACCTCAGCCTATAACACTGAAGACACATAGCTCTGGAGCTGGGAGACAGTATGTGCTGCTTACAGTCCCCAGTCTTCTGGTCACCTGTCACAGCAAAACAGAAAACACATTTGCACATTTTTATGAAAAAGTACTTCCTTCTTCTCGAGGTCTTGCTTTACTGGTCTTTAACCAAACCCTCCCTGGTCAGTAGAGAATTCTGTCGTTTCCATCATTCTGTGTGATGTGTACAGTCTAAGGTGTCACTTCACAGGAGCAACTATGGAATAAAGTCTGTAACAAATGCAACTTGTGCTTCTCGGAGAATCCCGATGATTCAATGGTTTCAGAACACAAGGGTCCTACTTCACACGTGGCCAACAGCAACAGCAAAAGTGGTCCCAGACACTGTGCTTGAAGCCAGGATTCTTGGACCCAAGAGCCTGGGTTCCCGAGAGACCACAAGTCTCTTGGTGAGACCCTTTAAAAAGCTACTCCAGAGGTGTGGTTGGCTTCCCATAGGAGGAAGGACGGCTTGGGACATTGCAGCTCCGTGTCATAGAAAGAGCAGCAAGTTCTGAGGCCTGACTCACCCACCCAGGTGCACTGGTCCTAGTCCCACAGCGCCTCCATCCCTTGTGAATATCCAGCCCTTCCTCCCAGGCTGTCTGCATCAACAGTCACTTGAATCTGTCTTGATATTAACTGCAATGACTCTGAAAATCTCAAAGAACTTACATATTTCAAACTTTAAAAACAGCCATGATCAAGAGGAGGCTGAGGCAGCAGGATGGCAGGGTCAAAGGTAACCTGGGCCACACAGGGAAACATTACTCAAAACTTCAAATTCAAAACAAGCAAAAATAGAGTCACATGTCAGTCATGATGAGACACACTGAGAACCATGTATGCGGCTGGGTGACTTCCCTGTGGGAATGACATGGAAGTACGGATGGCTTCGTTGGTACCAGTGGCACGACCTCATGCTACCACAGTCAGATATACCGTCTACCATCAGCCAAACGGCAGATCTGGGGTACATGGGTGTGCTGTTTGACATGTGACGACAAATACTGTTACAGTCAGGTATCTAAGGCCAAAGGTAAAGTCGGAGGCTGCATTTCATTAAATACATACCTGATGGAAGAAATCATCCATGAACTGGTCCTTTTCAACAACCACGACAGTAGTGTCTCCATCGTCGTTTTTCCTACACTAGAATAGAACACATTTTCAAAGTGTCACAGAGGCTGAACAGCAACACAGGACCCACAGCACCTCAGCACAGGACCTCAAGCGCAGCAGAGCAGCCACACTCTACAGCCTACTGCTTCTTCATTGTGACAGCTAACACCAACAGGGGAAGGAGTGAGCCCAGGAGGACAACAAAGGCCAGATACTTATACAGGTGCGGTCATCTTCATCTCAGTCCGGGTCACTCAAAACAGGTTGTCCTCAAAAACCAATGTACACACATGTACATACACACGCATACACAGAGTCATCCTGGGGACTGACTCTGGACTCTGAGCATGCTAAGCAAGGGTTGCATCACTATACCTGTAATATTAATATTTTCTGTAAAGATTAAAAATGCTACTGGGGGTGGAAGGTGGAGAGGTGGTTTAGTGGTTAAGAGCACTGGCTGATCTTCCAAAGGTCCGGAGTTCAATTCTCAGGACTCACACCCATGGGATGCGATGCCCTCTTCTGGGGCGCAGATGAACATGAAGGCAAAACACCCATATACATAAAATATATAAACAAATCAATCTTTCTTTAAGCTAGATGGTGGTAGCACGTGCCTTTAATTCCAACAGTCAGAAAGCAGAGGTAGGCAGGCCAGCTTGGTCTACAGAGCAAGTTCCAGGACAGTTAGGGCTACACAGAGAAACCCTGCCTCCAAAAACAAAAACAAAACAAAACAAAAAAACCACTCTTTTAAAAATGCTACTGGGTTTGGTGGTGTACCCCTATAATCCTAGCACTTGAGAGGTGGAGGCAGAACGATCCAAGTTCCAGGTCAACCTCCAGCACACAGTGAGTTCAAGGCCAGGCTGGGAAACAGCACTAGCTAACTTTTGTAGAGTAACTTCTGCGGTATGTCAGCTGGCACCCTTACTTTCTAAGAGGGTTACGACCACCACACACTGTTTAATAATAATAATAAACACTCAGACAAGGAAAGAGGAGTTGGGGAAGACAGAGCCAAGTAACACTGAAGAAAACAATGGTGATGTCACAGACATAGTTAAAATGGATGGAGCTGCGTTTTAGCAAATGCCTAAAACAGAATCAAAGATACACAGAATCAGGCACTTCCTAAGCTAGATGTATGGCCTTGGATCCCGAGAGTGCTGGATGATGGACTATAACCCAGCTGTTGCTTCCTTTGAGGCCTGGGGCCTTGTGTCTGCACAGGGTGCTAGAGGGATGCTGGCATTTGACTCCCAGTAACCCACCTGGAAGCCTCCCTTCCAAGCAGTCAAAGCCTCTAGCAGCACAGACTACTCTAAATTAGCTGGAAGTCGCTTTCGTCAACAGCTCTAAACACCCCCACCCCCCACCCCCGCCACCCCTGCCAACCCCCAAGCTGGTCTACCCCTGCCAACCCCCAAGCTGGTCTCTAAATCCCACTGCAGAGCCCAGCCTGCCACGAGGCACAGGGGAGGGACTTGCTGAGCTCTCTCCCCCAGGGCAGCCCCGTGAGTCAGCATTAGCCCAGCCTCCCTTCCAGCAGCCAAGCTCAGCAAGGCATTTTAGGAACCTACCTCCACTGCTTGGGGAATCAAGTCCTTACCCTGCAGGCCTGACACCCAGCAGTATTCCTTTACCACCCAGGAAACTTTGCAAACAAAATTCTACTACAATTCCCAGCTAAGAAAACTCTGCAAATTTAAGAAATGTGTTAAAGCTCGGGCAGTCTGGCATGCACCTTTTACCCCAGCACTCAGGAGAGAGAGGCAGGGATCTCTGAGTTCCAAGCCAGCCTGGTCTACATAGCTAGTTCCAGGGCAGTCAGGGTTATGTGAAGAGATGCTGCCCTCTTCCCCACCCCCCAAAAGGAAGTAAAAGTAAGGAACTATGGTATGAAAGCACAAATTCTGCCTCTCTCAATGCCACCCAGGATCCTCACTGAGGCTTGATGAGCTCTTCCCACATCTCATGCACCCTCTTCTGGTGCTGTCTGCATGGATAAGATGGCTGGATAGTTAAGGCTGGGAGTATGGCTCTGAGATAGAGACAGGAGTATGAGAGGAACCATTGTCATTAGGGAGATAAGACTACACAGTCAGGACCAGCCTAATTAAAAATTAAAGGGACATCATCTAAGAGGATGCCTTATACATACACGAAGCCTAGCACAGCCCCCTCTGGCTTCTCAGTACCACATGCCTACACTCTGTCTTTCTAGTCCACGGATGCCCCTTCTGTGTGACTTTCCCCCAGAGTCCAAGTCACACTGTCAGTCAACACACTGCTCTCCCAGATGCCTCAAATGAAGGACAGTGCTGAAGTATGGCAGGTTGTCCCAACAGCCCCAAGCAAGGGAATCATGTTTGGGACAGGGGCACTGACATGCCTGGTTAGGATAGCTCACTCCACATGAGGGTAAGCTACGATCATTAAGCTGAGACAGTCACAGAGCAAGGACAACAACTGTGAGACTCAGCAGAGGGTGGCCCAGAGGATCTCTGCATGCTTGGGAATGGAGTGTCAAACAGCAGTGTCTCAGAATCTAAAATACAAAGAAAAATCTTAGCCATGGCTTTTAGAGGCACCGATACCCTGATTTCACACCTGAAGCCTCAAATGCCTTTGGAAACTAGGGCAGGAAGATCTCAAATTTGATGCCAGAAAGCCTGGTAATAATGCCACACGCCTTTAAGCCTGGTACTTGGGAGGCAGAGAAGGTAGATTTCTGTGAGTTCAAGGCCAGCCTGGTCTTTATGGCAACCAGGACCACACAGAGGTCCTGTCTCAAATAAGAAACAACTTGAAGCCATCCCATACAACCCAGTGAGATCCTGTTTGTAAAAGAAAGAAAGAAAGAAAGAAAGAAATTAGCGTTGGTGAGGCATGCCTGTAATTCCAGCACTTGGGAAGCAGAGGTAGGAGGGTGCTGAGTTTGGGGCCAGACTGGGCTACAATGAACTCAACCTGGGATATATAATAGGACAGGGAGGGAGGGAAGGAGGGAGAGAAGAAGAGAAGAAGAAAGGGAGGGAAGGAGAGAGTGAGGGGAAGGGGGAGGGGAACGGAGAGGAAGGGAAAGGCTGTCTGTGGGTTCTGTAAGTTGTCCCCAGCGCCATGAGCACCTCAAGTACTCCATTTCTGGCAATGCTCTCTAAGAATGCACCATGGCCTGAAAGTGTACCCAAAGTCACAGAAGCACAAGATAACAGAAGCAGCAGTTCAAGAAAGAGTGATTACGGAGTCAGGAGCACACGAGAGACACTGTTCTGCACCTCTGTGCAGGCTGCTGGGACAGAAGGTGACCATTGCCAGGGACACAGAGAAAAGCCAGACAGGGACTTCCGGGTGGACAAGGTGTGAGCAAGGCTGAGAGGGAGCAGGGCCATGGAGGCTAGGGAAGCTGTCAGGAAGTGAGCTCATCCTGCAGCCAAGGGGCCAAGAGGAAGTCTGGCCATGGCGGATGCTCTCAGGCCATAGAGTTTAGATATAGCTTGAGCAAAAACAGGAAATGATTTGTGTATGGGAAAACCCAGAATCTCTTATACATGACCCTGATTTACTAACATACTAAAACGCAGCTCACTGTGCCTACCCCTCTTCCTCCCTCCACCATTGGAATCCACAGCACACGGCCAAGTCACTTCAAGTCTGTCTCCAGACTCTCTGTGCTTGTATGTTCTGTTAGTCAGAGACTGAATCACCCTGGACACAGAGTCGAAGCAATCTCAGGCAAGCTGCTCCAGGTTTTGTATTAAATGAGCAGTGGATCAAAGCAGGAAGCTTCCTTCAGCCTTTACAAAATCTGTGAGTGCAAACCGCTTCCCATGATTACTCTTGTTTTGCAATAAGGTATTAACTACATCACCCAAGCTAACCTGGAACTCAGAAGCTTCCTACCTCCATTTCCCAAGCACTGGAATCACAGCCATTCAAACAAGGTAATTTTTAAGTCCTTCACAGGTGATCACCACGAGTGCCTTTTCCTCAGGTGGATGGATGCACACACAGCCAATGAGGAACCTTTCTGCGAAACCTCAAACTCTGGGTCTCTATGGCCATTATGGTTCAGCCATTTTAACCACAAAATTAAACACTGGATCTTATCTACAAAAGAGCAGCATTTGGATATATGGTGTGAAGAGGCAGGCTACCCATCCCAAAGCACTTGGAAAAAAAAAAAAAAAAAAAGAATGCATTTCACTAAACAAAAATTAAACTTATGTGGTAAGTAGTCCTTTTTGAAACAGGATCTTAGGTAGCCCAGGCCAGAAGGTACGAACTCAGAATGCGTTACATTTCTGACCCTTCTGCTTCCACCTCCCAAGGCAATTACAGCCATGGGCCACCCACCATGCCCAATTTACATGCTCATGCCTATAATCCCAGCATGGGGAGGCTAAGCTAGGAGGTCAAGATCAGCCTAGGCTACACAGTAAGTTCATAGCTGCCCTGGGAACCTCCCAAACCTCCCCAACCCAAAAGGAAACAAACACATTAAACATGTCAAATTCAATTCAGATAATTTTATACTGGGGATGTTAAAGAGAACGTGGCTTTTTCTAACTTCCTGAAAACAGAAAACCTAGTAGGTATCAACAGTGTAAGCCCATGGCACTTGCCTGCTTGTCCCAGAGGTGCCTGTGCTAGAGACACACCTCCCTCTGAGAGGCAGAAAGACAGCTGTCAGACAAGAAAATCAAAGTACTGAGAGCTCTGAATATAAATTACTCGCACAGGGGATGGGACTCAGGGAAGAGCACTTGCTGTGCTCCCACAAAGCCCTGAGCTCTATCCCCAGCGCTGGACTAAACAACTGAGGTTCACAAATCATTTGCCTGAGCTCCAGGGTGGAAGCTCCCACTAGTGATTTCTAGCTGCCCAGTCCTTGCATGGAAATGGCAGGGCACTGGACCAGATAAGGTCACTTCCAGGTCCAAAATCCTACAAGAAAACCAAGTCACATATTGGTTGTGTCTAACACACACAGACAATGTGTATGTAGGGAGAAGCATAGGTCCTAGTGTATGTACATGTGAAAGCCAGGCAACAACCTCAGCTGGCATTCCTCCGCCACTGTCCTCCTGGATTTTTGAGACAGGCTTTCTCACTGCTCTGAACTCCAGTATGCCCCAGGAATCTGCCTATTTCCACCTCCCCAGAGTTGGAATTACAGTATGTACCATGATGCCTTCAGAATGTGGCTTCTGAGGACTGACCCCATTGTCCTCAAACTTGCAAGGCACTCTACCAACTAAACCATCTCCCCAGCCCACAGATCCACATGTCCTCCCTATTTCTGGAAATCCTGGAATAAAGATTGACTTACTGGGGCGGGTGATATGGCTCAGTGGGTCAGTGTGCCTGCCACCAAACCTGACAACCTCAGTGCCACTGAAGACTCAAACGGTGGAGGCCGAAACAACTCCAAGGTGTCTTCTGACTTGCACGTGTGCACAGTGGTGCACGCACTCAAATAAATACATTAAGTTTATGTATTCGTTTTTTTGTAAATTTCTGTTTGAATCGATAACTTGAGTTCCATTTAGGAAAAAAAATGAATGAATTAGGTTTGGAATCAGAGTTGGCCCTCGGCACTCTTCTACCACTCTGTTCTACTCATCTATGTATGGAGGGGCTTTGGGGCTTTGACTATCATAAAACCAGAACAGCAACGCTGTGCTCTGAATCAAATATTCAGCCGAGGCTTAATTCTTTATGTAAAACAAATACATCCATCTCATTTGCTGTCATCCTAGATAATTGGTAAGTGTATGGATACAAAGGAATTATTTTGATACATCTATGATTTATCATCATCAGTTAATGCTCCATTTGCACAACTGTCTTACAGACATACGTGCAGGCTCATGTTAAAATTTATCAAGTGAAAAGGGTCACTAGCAGGAACACTTAAGGAAGCATGTCCTAGGGAAGTGGGCCTGAGACCCTGCTCCAAGGCTGCAACCATTCAGACAGTTGAAGCCGTGTTCCCATTGCAAAAGCAAAACCAGCCACAACCAGCAGAAATCACTCCTGTGTTTTCAAGGGGAAGAAATCCAATTGATTCTATCATCACCAACTCCAATTCCATAGCAACCACCATGTTCATAGTGGTGGCATCTTTACATAGTGGAATGCGTGAAATCAAGTCACTCAGTACAATTCAACCCTAAAAAAAGATTGATACTTCATGTGCAGCAGTATAGATGGAACTAGAAGCTGGTTACAGTGAACGATGTTGAGACAAACAAGGGGGACCAGTCCCTGGGTTCCAGAAAAATGATAACACACAGCTAAAGCACTGCTGAGTTAGCATTAGAGACAATGGCATGCTCTTTAAGGTTTTTATCATAAGCATTCTTTCTAATGTTTATCCTCCTGTTAGTAAGCAAAGACACTGGTAGATTGAGGCAATTGACTCCCTCACTGCTCCAGCTGCCTTAAGCAAAGGGACTGACTGTCAGTCAAACAGCCATCTGGACTACCCCTGGGCCGGCACCAGCCATGTTGAACATTGCATGCTTTGAGGAACCTACACAATGCCTGCAGCTGACTGCTCCAGCTCCTAAAGGCACAGCTTCTGCCAGGGTTTTCAGTCTGCGCTAGACTTTGTGCCATCACAAGCCTTTGTGAACTCTGGATGACCCTGTATCCATGTCCCCCAAATCAGCAGGATGGTTGCTAAAGGTGAAATGTTGGGACTGGTGCAAACACAACCTTCATTTGCAAAGGAGGTCTGTGATTGGTGCACCCTTTCCCCATGCCTATAACAGGCTGCCCAACTCATTCAGTGCTCATTTGGTGAGTGGGGTATAGCCCATGCAAGCTTCCTTGGAGTGGCCTTGCCCCACCCACTTCCAGTGGGGCAGGAGGGTTTGGTGGCACAGAGAGAATGACAGACGCAGCAGACAGCCTGACGGCACACTGAGTCACAGCAGCTACAAGGGAGGAAGGGCAAGACCAGGGTCAACAGGGGCAGAAGCAGAAACAGCAAAAGTGGCAGTGACTGCACACGCACAGTGGGAAGCAGCTGAGATCTAGGGTGTGACAGGAAGGAGCAGAGAGCAACAGAGCTGAGCCGGAGGCACACAGAAGTCTTTAAGGGTCAGAGACAGTTCCAGAGGGCTGTCGGGTCTTTAGGGACAAGGGTCTCAGAGCTCAGCTGAGACAGTTCTAGCAGCTGTTAAGGTCTAAGGAATCCCTGATGCCCAAGCACACTTACTCAGGGTCCCCCTCCTAGTGCCCAGAGCTGTGACACTAGAGGGCACCACCCACGGCTGCTCCTCAGGGCTGTCAACAAATCCTGCCAGAGTCCAGCACTGGGAGCAACTTCCCTCCCTTCCCAGGTTACTACCTGGATCTTGCAAAAGATCCCCAGGTGCGTTGAGGATCACAAAGCAAATCAGCACAGAAACACAAATACAGCATGTGTAGACATTAAAAAGCTGCTTTCCAGGGAATAGAAAACAGAATGGTTATAGGGTCTGGGAAGGGAGCAGTATAGACAGGTGGCTCTGGGGTCCAGGTGGAAAGGAAAAATGCCTTCCCATCCTCTGCATAGCAGTGGATGACTATAGTCAACGTATGCAAGTAGCTATTGAGGAGGGTCTCAAAGTACTCTTCCCAAAGAAATGATAAAGCATCAGAGAGGGTATGGTCAATCACCCTGACTGGGCCCACACTGAATACATGTCTTGAATGTCACATTGTACCCCAAAAGTGGGTGCAATGACTGTGTCCACTACAAATGTAGATACGTATTGTAAGCCCCCTTCCCCCTTTAAAAAGCTCAGCCTTTCCCTTGTTGCAATGCTCACTAGTGACTAAAGTCTTGCGTTAAAGCGTAAACACATTTCTGGTCCCCAGTGCACTGGGAGAAATACCTAAGGCAGCTGTGGGTGGTGCAGATAACACCAGGCATCTAGCCCCTGGGCTCCAAGTTTGTGTGAAGTGTCTGTGAGGGACCCTTGGTACAGCATTCTGTGCCAAGGCCATGAAACAAAGCGGCGGGAAAAGGGCCTTTACAGGGTGGGGCGGTTAGTTGGAGAGGTTGTGATAAGAGCCTTGCAAAAAGACCAGGCAGGCAGTGTCATGGTGAGTCCCAAGCCAGACATCAAACATAAGCCCAGGCCAGGAGGTGCAAGCCCAGCCCTTGCTCCTTACCTAGAACCCTGAACCACACTCTCACCTATTGAAACCAGCCCTGTTAGGGGACAAAGGGATCCTGGCCCAAGCATTGGTCCACAGCAGCCAAGAGGAAAGAGTCCACCTCCCAGACACCTAATGGAACCTATAGTCCCGACAACCTGCCTGGAACCCAAGAACCCCCCCCAGCAGCCCTGCCCAAGGACCCATGGAGATCTCACCCAGAAACCCTCCCCACCCTAACACCCTTAATGGCCCCAGGAAACCTAGAGCCCTTCCCCTGAGACCCTGCTCAGAAACAGTGCTTGGGTCCCTCCTGTGCATCCTGTAACTCTTGGAAACCCTGGAGCCCACTCCCTGGAACCCTACTAGGAGGCCTCTTGGGTCCTTCCTGAAGACTACTCCCAGCCAGGCCCCAGGACACCTGGAACCCTCTTATGAGGTCCCTCCCGGGTGTTCTTCCTCAGAGCCCTCTTCCCTGGTCTCCCTCTCCAGGACCCCCTCCTGGCTCCCCTCCCGGCCCTTCTACTCAGGATCCTTCTAGGGTCTTGCTCCTGGACTCCCCTTCCTGAGTCCCTCCCCCATCATCCCTCTTCCAGGGGTCTTTGCCTCGGACCCTCAGCAGCCCGCCCGCCGGCCCGGACCGCTATCCGGCGCGCCGCTCACCGCCGTGAGGTCGGGCAGCCGGTCCCGCATCCCCACCAGCCAGCAGGGCGGGGCGCCCGCCTCTCAGCTGCCCGGCCGCACACTCTCGGGTGGCCGCGTCGCCGCCTCTCTGCCAGCCGGGGTCCTGGCCCCGCGCCGCCGCCCTCCCTCGGGCTGGCGCTACCACGGCAACCGCGCCCGCGCTCTCTGCGCTTGCGCCTGCCCCACCCCCTCCCGCGGGACCCCGGGCGCCTGGGCGGGCCCTCGCGAGGGGTGGGAGAGTGGAGTGGGCGTGGTTCTATCTGGGGGCGGGGCTTGGCCTCAGTCCTCTGGCTGAGTGGTTAGACAGTTTAACACGCTGTCTGCCCTTGCTTAATTCTTGACTTTCGTTCGTTTTGTTTGCTTAAAACACTGAAGAGCTGGGGCCACAAATCAGTGGCTAGACCTTGCCCACCATGTCCTAGATTTACACTCAACAGCGAAAAAAAAAATTCTATATTCACCATCACAGCACACATTGACGGCAAAGCAATCAAAATAAGGCGGGCACACCTATCACCTATTTTGACCCTGAGAGCGCCACACCTGGGTCCTCAGGTAAAGAACACCTGCATGTTCCACGCTTGATGCAGTTCTGATGGGGGACTCAGGCAGTTACTTTTCTGGTCACTGTGGCAGCGTAGCCATCAAATGCCAAGTAAGGGAGGGAGGAAGGATTTATTTTGGCTCGTGATTTGAGGGGCTAAAGTCCATTATGCCAGGAAAGGCGTGGATGCAGACGGCCCATGTCGGTGGGGATTTTAACCCTGACCCTTCATATTCTGGAGGAATAGGGAACAAAGACAGGAATGACAGGAACTGGTCCATACTGTAGCCCTCAAGGCTGAGTGACCAGCCACTCACTTTCCCCAGCTAGGCCACACCTCCTAAAAATTCCACAGCTTCCCAAAAGAGTGCCAACTGTCTGAGAGTGTTCAAACAAGTATTCAAACGCACTAACCTATGGAAGACATTTCACATTCAAACAACATGGAAGAAGGAAGCAGTTTAACAGCAATAGTCATGCATAGTGTAGAGTGTGGGGAAGACCAACAGGGAGCTTCTTCCGACCTTCCCTTGGTTCCTCCTATCTCCTTGTGTGAGCCTCATAATGGCTGTGCATAGTAGCTTTCATCCTTTTTTTTAAAAAAATGAATGTATTATGTATAGTTTTCTGCCTGCATGTCTGCCTGCAGGCCAGAAGAGGGCACCAGATCTCAATACAGATGGTTGTGAGCCAGCATGTGGTTGCTGGGAATTGAACTCAGGACATCTGGAAGTGCAGTCAGTGCTCTTAGCCTCTGAGCCATCTCTCCAGTACCCTCCCACTCGCACACACCCCAATTTTTTTTTTTTTTTTTTTTTTTTGAGTGAGCTGAGAGAACAGTTTTCAGGATTTAGTTTTGTTTTACCATGTGGGTTCCTGAACTGACTCAGGTCAGGCTTGGTAGGAGCCACCTCTAACTGCTGAGTCATCTCACCAGCCAGTAGCCTTCATTCCTAAGTGTACTGGCAGGGTGTACTTACCAGTAATAAGCCACAAATTTGTGGGAGCTGATCCTTAAGTGTGTAGCATTATGCACTTGGGACAGAGGCAAGCAAGCAGATCCTTGTGAGTTTGAGGCCAGCCTGGTCTACAGAGTGAGTTCCAAGACAGCCAAGGCTACACAAAGAAACCCTGTCTCAAAAAACCAACAACAACAACAAAAGTTTGTAGTATTAGTTTGTGCTCCCCAAATACAAACACAGGTGAATACCTTCTTTTTAGGTCTAATGCTTCAGGCAGCAAAGCAGATCTCAGAAGAAAAAGGAAGGGGGGAGGGAGGGATGAAAAGAAGAAGATTCGAAAAGAATGTGATTTTTATTTATAAAAACATTTAAACTCTAAAGTTAGAAGTGATTGCATTGTGGAGCAGTCTTTTGCTTTGTTTCTCTTGAGATCAGGCCCAGGCTAGCCTTAAACTCCCTGCATGCAGGAATTTTTTCCCCTTCTGAGACAGGGTTTCTTTGTAATAATATCCTTGGCTGTCCTGAACTCACTTTGTAGACCAGACTGGCCTTGAACTCACAGACATCCACCTGCTTCTTTGTCCCCTGTGCTGGTATGAAAGGCATGTATTACCACTTCCTGCTTCAACCATTACTTCTGATCCTCCTGTCTTGGCCTCCTAAATGCTGGGATTACAGGTACATGACACTATGCCTGGGAACAGAAACATATTTAAGAACACAGTTCCATTCTGAGTGGTGCTCACACCGGTATTCACTGGCTCTGGAGGCTGAAGCAGAAGGACTGATACAAGTTTGAGCCAGCATGGTCTACTGTGTGAGACTTCCACAACTATAACAAAAATCCATTTCTTACAGTTTCAGTAGAAAACATGCTAAAAGTATCCAGTTAGCACGGAGCCACCATGGGGACAAAGAGAATAAAATAACTGCTAAGTGACCTTAAAGTTTGGCCCGACTTCTGAACCATGCTACCTAAGCATATTACAAATTATTGGGTCTTTTCCTAGTGCTGGGAATTAAACCTAAAACCTAAAAAGATCTCACATACTTTACCACTGAGCTATATACCTCCAGCCCTTTTTTATATTTTTTAGTTTTTAGACAGGGTCTCATCTATTGCTCAGGCTAGCCTTGAATCCTCTTCTGTAGTCCACACTGGCCTTGAACTTGGATCCTCCTGGGATTACAGGTAATCTGTATTAAGGGTTATATTACATCCACAGATAGAGATGTCAGATTCAGCCAGATGGTGGTGACTCATGCCTTTAATCTCAGCACTCGGGAGGCAGAGGGCAGACAGATCTCTGAGTTCAAGACCAACCTGGTGCACAAAATGAGTTCCAAACTAGCCATAGCATTTGCACACAGAAACCCTGTCTCCAAAAAAAAAAAAGAAACCTATGAATGGGACCTTTACAATATGAATGGGACCTTACAAGAAAAGGCCTTTTACATTTCAGCTTAACATGAGATGAAGTCATGACTCAGGGCTTGACCTCAGAGACAGACATACAGAAGGATGATACAACTAGGAGGAGGTGGCTAAGTCACTGCAACCATATGCCTATATAGCAAGGGGTGTCCGTGAATGCCAGCAACTCAAAAGCTCAAGGGGCAACAGGAGACAGACTCCAGAGTTAGCATGGTCTGACCACTCCTGAGTTTCAGACTTCCAGAAACATTCTAGGAGGGCTTGGTGGTGCAAGAGTGTCACCCCAGGTTCTCAGGAGAACAAGGCAGTAGGACCCTGAGTTCAAGTCCAACTGGACTGCAAAGTGGATTCAAGGATAATCCTGACAATTTAGTGACACACTTGTCTCCAAGTAAAAAGTATTAAGATGGCTGAAGGGTGTAGCTCAGTAGTGGTGTTTGCCTAGCAATCTTGAGGCCTTCGGTTTAATACCAGAGTCACATAGGGGGATCCAATTCTGTCCTATTAAGGGACTCAGTTTGTGGTATTTTGTTAAACCAATGTCACCTTGTAATTATCTTATAAATAGGACAGTTATGCTGTACAAATTGGCTGTTGACACAGTTTATAAGAGGCCATTTTAAACCCAAGCATTTAAAATGTGTTACACATTTTGAAACTAAAAAAGCCAATGTTTGAGACAAATACTCAGTTGAGCATATGCTAGAAAGTCATATAATGGGATGCTCTATATTCACACTCACACATCCCACATTCTTACATCTCTATGTATGAGCATCCTAGGCCTGTCCTAACTTGTGAGAAATCCTAAAACAGTTTTAGGTTTTCTTCTGCTATTTTCTCTCCTTTCTGTTTTCTTTTTTAAAGACTTATTTGTTATGTATAGTGTTCTGTCTGCATGTACCAGAACAGGGCACCAGATCTCATTATGGATGGTTGCTGGGAATTGAACTCAGGATCTCTGGTAGACTAGCTGCTGAGCAGTCTCACCAGCCTTTATTTTATTTTATTTTATTTTTTGACTTTTCAAGACATGGTTTCTCTGTGTAGCTTTGGAACCCTGTCCTGGAATTCTCTCTGTAGACCAGGCTGGCCTCAAACTCAAAGAGATCCATTTGCCTCTGCCTCCTGGGTGTTGGATGTGCCTGACCTTTACTCTTCTTTCTTAAAACTAGATTCTTCTAAAGTGACATGGGACACAGAGTCAAAGCATCACAGAATCTGGATGATTGTGGGTGACCAGCACACTGCTCTTAAAACTCCCTCTAGCTACAGAAATAGCCATCACTCCAAACCTGGGAAGCCAACTCAGTCTGACTGATAACCCTCATATTCCATAGGCAGCAAGTCTGAGGTCCAGGGCCTCCAGAGCTGGGGGCTGGGAAAGCTGCTTCCCTCCCCTGGGTCCTGGGATTTGGGGAGGAGCAAAAGAGCTCCCAGGGGAGCTTGTTGAGACACTTTCAGGAAGGCCAGGAACTCACTATGTAGCTGAGGCTGGCCTTGATCCTCCTGCTTCTGCCCTGATAGTGCTGGGGTTATACCACTGTACCAGACTCCTGAGGACACTTTTTTCTTTTCTTTTTCAAGACAGTCTCTCACCCAGGCTGGCCCTAAACTCCCTGTGTACCCAAAGATGACTTTGAACTTCTGATCCAGTGCTAGGAACCAAACCCAGGACCTCCTGCATGCTACACAAGCATTCCACCAACTGACCTATATCCCCAACCACAGTTAACACTTTGATAAGAACACTGGTCCCACTTCCCCATTTATGAGGCTCTACTTAGGACCTTGTTACTTCTCAAAGTCATATAGTCACTTTGGGGAAGGGGCATTAACATGAAAATGGGGTGGGGTAAACAATCCATATACCACAGTCATCTGTAGACACAGAAAGCTAAAACATGAGTCAATTTGGCTTGCTTGAGGTCCTGAGTTTAATCACCAAAAGCAAACCAGCCAACAAAAAACAAAGACCTTGTGTCCATTAGCCTCTCTGGCCCATCTCTTCTTCCCACTAGCTCCTCAGCTCATCTGCACAGTGGCTTTCATATGTCACTTCCCCTCCCTGGAATCTTTTCCTTCACAGATCTCCTTGGCACCCCTCCCTCACCTTCCTGGGCCTGGTTCCCCCTTGCTATCTCAGGGATAGTTTGGGGTCCTCACCCTGACTGGTCACCTCCTTCCTCCTTTCCAATTTAGCAGTCATCATCCTTTGGATAGC